TAGCACAACCTGCTTTGCTGACTTCAGAGACCTTTTGCGAAGAACTTAGTCGCTCGCCACGTGCACAAGAGAAGTAAGGTGCGGGTATTCAACTCACCAAACACTCCCCCGAAACCCCAACCCCAACCCCCTCCAATGCACCCACCCCTCATCCCTGCCCGGCACCTTATCAGCCCTAACAACGACCCTCAGCTCCGTCCCCGTTTCCTCAAACTTCTCTCTGATTTTCCGCGGCGGAGCTTGATGCAGATACGGAAGATCAAGTCTTCCGTCGTGTGTTCGGTATCGATGGCCTCGTCCGTCGGCGCGGCGCAACTGCTGTAGTTCGCCAGCATGAGGGCATGCGACCACTGGTGGAGCTGATGGCTGAAATCTCTGGATGAGACTGCTGCATATGTTGAGAGTGTAGAACGAAATAGCACATCTCCGTGCAATGTTGGATTCATTCGGCTCAATCCTTGTCCAAACCGAAGATCCGAACATTAACCCCAGTAAAGCAACTTTACCGATGTCCGAGCTCACTCCATGTATACAACTTCTGATACAACAATTGAGGTATTACCCACGAAGACATTGCCTACTGACGAGTACTCTAGGCTGCCTCTCAAGACGTCTTTCCTGAATAACTGTCTCCATACTATCCATCCAGCAGGAAGAATGGCCTATACCAGCGGTGGAACAAATGGACAAGCGCACGAAAACGAAAAGGTGGACATCTTCATCTGTGGCAGTGGGTCAGCTGGTCTCAGCGCCGCAACTTGGCTGGCACGCTATGGAGTACGCTGCAAGATCGTGGATTCCCGCTCTGGACCGCTGGAGTGGGGCGTGGCTGACGGTATCCAAAGCCGCACTACAGAGATCTTTGAAAGTTTTGGTATCGAAGATCAGCTACTAAGGGAGGGTTTCCACAATCTTGAAGTGGTTTTTTACAATCCAGTCGGCAAAGAAGGCGCCATTGAGAGGACAAGGAGCGTCGAAGCATCCTACCAAGGCTTGTCGCACCTGCCTCGTCTTATTTTGAGTCAGGCACGAGTCCATGATATGTTATTGGGGGCTATGAAGAGGTTTAATGATCAAGATGTAGACTATGGGTATAGGGTCCAATCAGTGAAGGTCGACGAAGAGAAAGGAAAAGATCCCCATGGTTATCCCGTCACTATAGTGACAGAAAAGGACGGGAAAGAGGAGACGTTCGAGGCAAAGTTTGCCCTGGGCTGCGATGGTGCACACAGTACCGTTCGAAAATCACTTGGCTTCAAGTTGGTTGGGGACGGGTCTGATTCAGTGTGGGGTGTCATGGATTTCATTCCTCGCACCGACTTCCCGGATACTAGGAAGCTCACCGTCATACAATCTAAAGTGGGCAGTGTGCTTAACATACCTCGAGAAGGAGGGTCTATGAATCGCTTTTACATGGAACTTCCCGAAGGGACTGTGGCAAAGGAAGTAAAGCTAGAGGATCTACAAGAAACCACTCGTCGGATCTTCCACCCATATCAGATTGACTTTGCAGAAACAGTTTGGTGGTCAACCTATACGGTAGGACAGCGAGTCGCAGACCGGTTTACACACTCGGATCGTGTCTTTTTGACAGGCGACGCATGCCACACGCATTCTCCTAAGGCTGGTCAAGGCATGAACGTAAGCTTCCAAGATGGATATAATATTGGATGGAAACTCGCAACCTTTCTTAAAGGAGAGGCCAAAAGAGACATCTTGGAAACCTATACCACGGAGCGGCAAAAGGTTGCTGAGGATTTGATTGAGTGGGATAAAAACTGGGTGAAATCCATTGCCTCGAAGGGTAAAGATCAGGGTGGCGTCCTTGACGCCAATAACAATGTCGACTTTAGCGAGATCTGGGTTAAAGCGAGACCTTTCACGGCCGGTCTGACCATCAAGTATGACGACTCTGTTCTGACTCGGGCGAACGGCAGTCTTCAGTCACGGGCCAAGGGTCTCAAAGTCGGGATGCGGTTTCCAAGTGCGCAGGTGATACGATTCTGCGATGCTTTCGAATTGCAATTCCTCAAAGCTTTCCCTTCAGATGGACGTTGGAGGATTGTGATTTTTGCTGGTGATGTCCGTCAGATTGCTGCTTCTAGAAGACTGATTCAGGTGATTAATATTTCCACTTGATGGGCTCCCTATGCTAACCTGCCAGCTTGGCAAATACCTTTTTTCGGAACATGGACCTATCAAGAAATACACAGCTCCTGGCTTAGATGTTGATAGCTTCATCGAAGTGCTTGTACTTCTCTCAGGAGAACGTTTGACGACAAAGCAGGAGCAAATACCGAAGACTTTTTGGCCGGAGACTGGCAAGTGGCGGGTGAGAGGTAAGACCAATTCGCACCACATGTCTGAGCTGTCTGATGATATATTTAGACTTACATAAGATCTACATCGATGACGAAAGCTACCATAGTGGACATGGACACGCATACGAAGTCTACGGAGTAAATCCCAAACATGGTGCAACTGCAATTGTGCGTCCAGATGGCTGTAAGTCTAAGATTGCCTCAAATCCCATAGGATTGCTTCCGTATGCTAACTAGACCCAAGACGTCTCGATGGTTCTGGATATCGAGGATTATGCAGGTATCAGTGACTTTTTTGCTGGGTTTGCTGTTGAGAGAATATCTGCTGTACAAACGGTAGCTTAACAAACGGAATAGCAGAACATTAAGAGTACTACAATAGGATTTACCGAAATTAAAGAGAATGAGTAACATATACCAACACAACATGTCCGTAGCTCCGAATCTCCTATATAAAATCAAGCAGACGCTCCATGTCCACGTTCCTTAGACAAAAAGAGCCTTCATATGCCAGAGACCCTCATAGTCAGCCATCGATATCTGAGAGACCTGGTAAGTCAATGACAAAGAGGCCAAGACGATGAGGAATTACAGTGCTAGACCAAAAGTTCTCGGTCTGTGCGCAGACCCCACCAAAACACCAACTATCCACTGTCACAGGGCTGGTTTCACCATGTGGCTCTGCCAAGATCACGTGACCTTATTCCTATATATATACCCCTGAGATCTCACTTCTGAGCTCTTTACCTTAGAATCCTAAGCCTCAGGGCACTTCTTCCTTACCGCTGATCTGCTCTGTGACATTCACGTTATCTTCAACACGCGACTATTCAACAATGCCTCGAGCTTTTGGAACAATTCTTTCTGGGAATGAAAGTCGTGGTTCCAGAGCTTTTAAAATCTCTACGTGGCGAAATATTTAGACGCTGACAGGCCGGGTAATCCTATGGCCCGGATCTCAACCTCATTGAGCATATTTGGTAGCCATTAAAGAAAGAGGTCAACCACT